AGCAGCAGGTTCAATTTTATCCACATTATCATGAAGCATTGACACACAGCTGCGATTGAGGCTAAAATCGCTCATTTCAGTTTTATCATTCCACCACCAGAGGGAGACAAACAGCTGCTCCTGAAAATCACTGAACAAACGTAATCTCTCGATTCTCTTAATTTCTTGTAAGTCTGATTTTATTTGATTTAAACCGGTTGGTTGAATGAATTTTATAATTTTAACCTTTTTAAATTAGTTTCACCAGTGAATTAATCCGTTTCTGAGTGTTTATATCCATTTGAGGTTTAATTATTCCCTTCAATCAAACATCATCATTAAAAAACAACAAAAAAACAAAAAAACATTTGAGTTCATTTTCTATTATTCTCCATGTTTTCTAGGCTCATTGTTTCCATTAGTGAACATGAAAAACGCTCTAAATCAGAAAAAGTTCTTCAAATAATTCTAGGAAAAAAATAAATACACAAAACTAAACAGAAAATTAAATGGAGAAAACGAAAACAAAGTCATCGGGAAAACTGTCAGCAGAGCGTAAAAACTGATTTCTGCTCCTGAAGGTGGATTTAAGGTTCGGCTAAACTCGGTGGGCGGAGCTAATAAACAGGAAGTCGTTCATTCTCCAGACGCCTTCAACGCTGTAAGTTTGTTTTCTTCATTCTGTCATATTTTAGTTTTACTGTACAAACTGTTTAAGTTTTATTAAAATAATGAAAACAAATCCAGCTTCAGATCTATTGCTACATTTAGTTCACTTTATTCGGGATTTTCTGTTTAGTGTCAATTAAAGGTCAGAACGTGAAATAAAGCCAAGTTATTAAAATGTTTAAAACCCGTTTTTAGCCTGTTGATCATAAGATCAGATGGTAGATTGGAGATCTGAGGGTGAACGATGAGCGTTTTTATTTCATGTTGGACTGAAATCTAATTTTAGAAACGACTGGAGGTTTCTGTCGGATTAGCAGCAGGAGGGGAAACCCAGGATTGGTAAACTGTCAGAGAATGTGAAGCAGAGACACCTGACTGAAAGGAGCTAAATAAACTTTTAATTAAAAAGTGAAGTGAGAGCAGCTGACCGAGGGGGAGAACCAGAACTCTGTGGTTCCTCTGCTGCTGACCAGATATAAATGAAAACATTAAAATAATAAAAAAGTTCATCTTGGATTGCTGCTCCCACGCTGAGGCTCTTATGTTGATAATAAGCGAAGTTCGAGGTGGACATATTTTACCTTCGAACAAGTAGAGATTTATGAACTAAAATCTAAACCATTAGTTGAGCTTCATTCCAAGATGTTCTAAAGGATCTGATGTGGATAAACTAACCCTCCTCTCACCTTTAACCTGATCATAAACTTCTGCTTTCATCACATCTGAGGTCGACTTTCACACTGGAGCAATTTATTCAGCTGCTATCTTTTATATTCTGCACATTTAAGTCAAATTGATGCAACTTGTTAATTTTTATCACAAACATTGCATAGGCAGCTCTCTGAACAGCTGCAGCAGGTGGGAGATAAAGATGAATCTGCAGAATTATTTTACTGTTGTAAACGTGAAAAATTATAACTAAAAATGAAAAATTATGACTAAAGCAATAAAGAGATGATCCATGTTCAGCCCGTTAACATCTGTCCTGCTTCATGTCTGTTTAAGCTTCAGACCCAGATGCAGAGAAACGCTGAAAAGCTACCAACTGGATTCACCACGTCGCTCTACTGATTGTTTTCTATTTGAAGTTTCTTCCCAGAATGCCGAGTCCATGAAGAGCTGCTATGAGTCCACCCGGCTTGTTAAGAACCAGACTTTCTCTGAAGAACACGTGAGTCAATGTGATGTTGATCTTTTGTCCTGCTACAATAAAGCAGTTCAAGGCTATCAGACTCTCACCTGGTCATTTATTTTCTAGATATCCGGAGTGACTCAGTTTCAGCAAAACTTGAGACGTTTTGACATGTAATAACCTGAAAACAGTTGTGTCTCATTAAACAGTAACATATTGATGTACTGATATAAATATTGAGTTTTTTAAGGCAGCTTAAAGTGTTAAATCAATTTGAAGGTACGTTAGAAATGAAAGTTGTAAGATATATTTATTTTTATTTCTGTTTGTGTTTATATCTTTATGTATTTATTTGATTATTGATTTATTTACTGATTTAAAAAATATTTCTTAATGCATTTATTAACTTTATTCATTTATAATTTTTCTTTGATTTTGTTTTATAAATGTATTCATATTTATTCATTCATTTATTAATTATAGATGTATTTATAATTTCTTTATTGCTTGCTTGATTAATATTTTTCTTAATTTTTAAAATGTATCTATTGATTTATAAATGCATTTATATATTTATTGATTGATTTATACATTTATTCATATTTAGATTTATTTATTCCCATGTCTTCTCCAGAATCGGTCTCTGGGAACCAGAACCTGATTCTGGTTCGGATTCTGTCCTTCAGCCTCAACCCAGCTGTTTGTCATTTCGGAGCAACCAATCAAAATCAGAACCTCTTCAGTTTAAAGGAAGGTTCTGCACATCTGAACTGGATCAGTACCAGTTCTTTCTGCCCAGGTAAAACAAATGAAAACGATGAACTGATCTGTTTTCAGTAGAATCAAAGGCTCCTTTTCAGGATTTTTAACTTGTCCATATTTGACGTAAAAATTAATTAATTAGCCACTAAATCTGATCAGAGTTCAAAACCTGGAATTTAGATCAAATTGATGAAAGACAAATGTAACCAAAGTGTTTGGAACCAGGATCACCGGGATTCTGGTTCCAATGCAGGTTGGAACCAAAACAAATGGACCTAAAATGTTCTTTTGTCTCCCCTGATCCACCAAAGACCAAGTTCTGATCCAGAACCTGAACCCAGTTGTTTGTCCCTGAAGAGCAACCAGACAGGAGGATGGAAATCCCACCCAGACCTGAGGTCAGTCCCTCAGTTAGACTTTAACCAACAGGAGCAGATTTTCAAAACAAAAGCATCAAACATTTGGCTGAGGAGCTGAAAACAGAAAGAGAAAAATTAAAGCATATTCTGATTTAAAACAACTTTAACAGCAACCATCTAAAATACCTTTTTCTTAATGGAAAAACAAATACATGAAAGTATCTAACATTTATCATTAAATTTGAAAGACATCTGCAACGTTGTGTGTTTTTTATAAATGATTCCTGGTTCCTCCTCAGAGTGGACCAGCAGAGCTCAGAGGTTCCCAGCGGTCCGTCTGCACAGCAGCACCAAACACAGCTGGACTCCATATTTACGGTCTGTACATCAGTTCTGTTCAGTCAGAACTTCTTCCTGCTGCTCTTTTTAGACCAGATCCAGGATCTCCAGTCTGTCCAACATGGACCTGATGTTCTGATCCAGTCTCACTTCTCATCATCTGGGATTCCTTTTCAGGAGCTGGAGCGAAACATGATCCTTTTTACAAAGAACGAACTGAAGAAGATCCAGAAAGTTTTGAATCCATGTTACCCAGAATGCTCAGAGAGTCAGGGGGAGGATGAGGAGGTGGTGGAGGATGACGATGAAGAGCAGAGGAGGAGGAGCAGCACAGAAGCTTTGTTGAAGATCATAGTTTTCTTCTTGAGGAAGATGAATCAGGAGGAATTGGCGGAGCGTCTGCAGAGCAGTAAGAGAATTATTAAAATCTCAATTTTCAACCAATTAACTGAAAAACAATGAAGTAAAATGGTTAATGCAACACATTTTGTAAAATCAAACTGCCTTAATATATATTAATAAAGAAATAATTATTTTATTGCATTAATTTCTTCCATTGCATGAATCACAGCAGTTCAAGGAAAAGGTTCAGCACAAAAACCAGAAGGGAACAAACATAAAGACTTTAGGGTTTGCTGACTCACAATGTCGCAAAACTTTGAGCTCCTTCTGAATGTATTTAAGGGGAGAATCATTTTGCAGGTGTTTCCATAGATGATGATGTTGCTCAGGCACTTCTGCAGACCTGATCATCTCCTGAGATGGTCGTGATCAGAAACTCATAAAATGGCCACAGTTTCCTTGCCAGAATGTCATGCTAGCACATGCTAGCCTTGACTTTTCCTCATAGGCCCATGCTGTCAGCATCTCCATCCTCTGAGCTGTTCTTGATGGAGGCAACATTCCTGAGGCTGCAGTCAAAAAAACTTCACCAAAAACCTGATTGGCTCTCAGATAGGATAGTGATGGATGTTCCTATGATTGAAAAGTGGAATCTTTTTGTTACTTTGCCCTATTTTAAGAAGAAAAGTTTTGAAGTGATCCATATCTCAGGTCATGTCTTTTGTCTGTTTGTAGAAACTCCTTCCATGTGTCAACAAAACCTTAAATCCTCCCTAAAGAAGAAGTCCCTGTATGTGTTTGAGGGAATCGCTAAAGCAGGAANATTTCATCAATCTTTAATCTTTTCTTAGACAAGTGTTTCTACCTTAGTGAGTTTGTTGATTGAAGTATTTAACTGTAGTGTTTAATTATTATTGTTAATAAACTCTTGCATACTGGACATAAATGTTTGTGTTTATTCCAAACATGTGAAGCAGCTTTCTGTTCAGAAACAACAGAGTTGGTCGTTTTTCCTCCATCAGTTAATATAAATATAAAAACCTTAATCAGGTTGATATTTATAGACAACAGACTGAACCATTTCACATTTTCCTGATAATCAGGTAAGTAATTTTGGTAACTTTGATCTAAATTACTGGTTTTGTTAATAATTGTCCTCAGCAATCATTCATTTCAAGAGGGAATTTATTATGTGTGGCATGATCTTCTGCTCTACTTGAAACCCATTAGTAATAATAATAACAGTATTGTCTGTCTGCAGACAGATGTTACATAAAGCTTGATTCAAAAGGCTGAGCGCGTGTTTTCCTCCTTGTTTTACTTTCACTTTCACTGTGACGTGGAGCAGCAGAGCCGCTGCGGCTGAAGATCCATCGGGGAACAGAATCAGCGTTAAGGAAAATCAGCGGCGACCCGGTGAGTTCCTCCAGACCCGTCCAGAACCAGAACCGTCCAGAACCCCGCGGCTCTGTTCGAGGCTCCTCGCTCCGCCCAGACCGCCCGGAGGGCCGCGTTGTCCCTCTGTCTGTCCATCTAATGTCTCCATGTCCAGCTGGAGGACACATCAGAGGACAGACTGGACGTCTACATCACTTCCTACCGATTTATCCAAGTTACGTCTTTACAACATCAGCAGATCTAAGACGACGTCAGACTACCAGCTTTGGCTCTATCTAGTGCACAAGTTGTAGAATTATAACAATCTGATATAAACAGGAAACGGCTGATGTTTCCATAGCAACCATGTGAAGCGCGATCAGAGTTGATGTTGAGGTGAATGATGAGTGTTTCCTCCTCAGATGAAGGCGGACGGTGTGTGAGCAGAGCAGCATGGAGGACGGAGAGGACGCAGCCCGTCCCTCTGGACCGTCTCAGTGTGGACATGAGGACCAGAGGTGAGTGTCCATCTGTCCCTCCAGGCTGGAGAGCCACAGATAAGATAAAGAGAGATACTTCTCTGCAGTCTCATTTCCGTCCTGTCCTGTTCAAACGCTGAGCTGACCGTAGAAATCTGCTGCTTCCAAGGCTTAAAGTCAAAAAGTCTCTCAGTCATGAAACATTTCAGTATTCATCCACCTGAGCTCCAACTTTACCTTTAGCGCCTTTCTGTGATAAAAACTACAACTCCCAGGATGCATGTGGCTGTACAAGGCCACATAACTTCATGTTTCACCATCGTGCCTCATAGCTGCTTAAAAATCAATCAGTAAATTGTGTATAAAGCAGGAAAGGTCACAGCACCTTTCCCAACACGTAACCTTTCCTGAAAGGCTTGGCAGCGTTTCAGATATTTAAAATAACAATCAAATCAATAATTATTGATAAACTGATATGAAAGCTTACATCATGACACATTTATCAGCCTCTACCTGAAGTCGTCTCCTGCTGTCCTCTCTGTCTGACAGGTACAGGTGCCTGGTTGGGCCAACTTCCTGCTGCTCGTCTCAGAAGAGTGCTGCGTCCATGGAGCCGCCGCTGCAGTTCCCTGGAAAAGAGTAATTTAATTTATGACAAATTTCAAATGGAACAAACAAACATCTTCCATCTTTGTGCAACCGGGCTCAGTGTTACGCCAGAGAGCAACAAATGAAGCTCTGTGTTGTGTAAAATGAGACAGGATGACTGATGGCCTGATGGCCACCCAGCAAACATCAGTTCACCTGGTTATGACAAAGGAATCATATAAAAATAACTCGGATATGTTTGTGCAGCAAGACATTTTATTTGTGCTGCTTTTGCTTTGAAGATATTAATGAAAGTTTAAAGGTCAAAACTTCAACCAGCCCTCCCCTGGCCCCTCCTCCCTCCACTACCCAAATCTAACAAAATTGGTGTCAAACATTTGTGCTACTTTTATGCAGCTATGATTTTCGTTTGGGATTTTCAAAGCCAACCTCGCTGGAAGAATTGATAGAACCTGATTTTATCCAGGTGGATCAGATGACAAAGCTAATTGGGTTCTGCTTTTTATTTTCTTTCTATCTAAAGTCCCAATGGCGACACCATGGTGAAAGTTTCTAATGCTACCCGTTTCTTACTGTCCAGTCGAATCTTTCCCACGGACAGATGCTTATCCATCGCTGCGTCCATGGAGCCACCACTCCAGTTTGCTCCCAACAGGTAATTAGCACCCGAATACAATATAAATAGTATTTACAGATAGTATTTACTATCTGGTTCCTCCACAGAGAGGACCTGCAGAGCTCAGAGGTTCCCACTGATCCGTCTGTCCAGCAGCACCAAACACAGCTGGACTCCATATTTATGGTCTGTACATCGGTTCTGTTCAGTCTGTAGACCAGAGGACTGTCAGTCTGTCCAACATGGACCTGATGTTCAGATCTAGTCTGATATCTTCTCATTCTGTTCCAGCTGCTGGAGGAAAACATTGTCACATTCGTGAAGAACGAGCTGAAGAAGATCCAAAAGGTTCTGAGTCCAGATGACCCAGAATGCTCAGAGGGTCAGAGTGAGGATGAGGAGGTGATGAGGGGTGAGGATGAAGAGCAGAGGAGGAGCAGCAGAGAGGCGGTGATGAAGATCACCCTGAACTTCCTGAGGAAGATGAAGCAGGAGGAGCTGGCTGACCGTCTGCAGAGCAGTAAGAGGATTTCTACAAAACATTTCCTCCTTGGTTTATTCATCTGCTACTTTATCAGGTACACTTAGGTAATTTGTTAAAACAGACTACGAATCAGCCAATCACATGGCAGCAACTCTATCCAGAAGTGGTGAGGAGGATCTGTTGAAGGTAAATGAGTGTCAGAAAGAGGAAGAATGAGGATGTTGAGGCCAGATGGACTCATCTGGTGTCTCAGAATCCGAAATCTCCTGGATGAGTCACCCATTATCAGTGTTTGTTGTGGTGTGGAAGCATCTAGTGGCCTGTTGGTAGAAACGGTTTTATCCTTGATGTTTTGGATTTCACCATAAAGTGACAGTGTCTGCTATTCCTTCCTCTAAACCTGTCCTCTGTTTCTGCAAACATCAGGCTCTTCCTGGTGTAAGTTTAGAGCAGTGCTTTTCAACTCCAGTCCTCATGCTTTGTGTAGCCTGGTTGATTCGATCCAAACCAGTAGACAGAAGCATGCTCAATTAGCATTTTCTTTTTTTTTTTTGGCAACATTTTATCAGCTAGCTAAAACATCACATGGCAATTGGATGGAAACATGGTGTACCTAAGGAAATAGACCAATAATTACATGAATTTCCATTATTCAGGAGAAGTACAGGTCTGCCTGATTTGGTTGTTTTTGTGTTTTGTTTAGAACTGATTCCTTCACCTTGTCAACATAAACTTAAATCCAACCTGAAGAAGAAGTTCCAGTGTGTGTTTGAGGGAATCGCTAAAGCAGGAAGTCCAGCCCTCCTGAACCAGATCTACACAGAGCTTTACATCACAGAGGGAAGAACTGGAGAGGTCAACCAGGAACATGAGGTCAGACAGATTGAAACAACATCCAGGAAACCACACAGACCAGAAACAACAATCAGACAAGAAGACATCTTTAAAGTCCAACATGAAAGAGATCAACCAATCAGAACAGTGATGACAAAGGGAGTGGCTGGCATTGGGAAAACAGTCTTAACACAGAAGTTCACTCTGGACTGGGCTGAAGACAAAACCAACCAGAACATCCAGTTCATATTTCCATTCACCTTCAGAGAGCTGAATGTGCTGAAAGAGAAAAAGTTCAGCTTGGTGGAACTGATTCATCACTTCTTTACTGAAACCAAAGGAATCAGTAACTTTGAACAGTTCCAGGTTCTGTTCATCTTTGATGGCCTGGATGAGAGTCGACTTCCTCTGGACTTCCACAACAAGGAGATCCTGACTGATGCTACAGAGTCCAGCTCAGTGGATGTTCTGCTGACAAACCTCATCAGGGGGAAACTGCTTCCCTCTGCTCTCCTCTGGATAACCACACGACCTGCAGCAGCCAATCAGATCCCTCCTCAGTGTGTCTGCCTGGTGACAGAGGTCAGAGGGTTCAATGACCCCCAGAAGGAGGAGTACTTCAGGAAGAGATTCAGAGATGAAAAGCAGACAAGAATGATCATCTCCCATCTCAAGACATCACGA